CGGGTGCAATCCATGGTCGCAATGTGACTTTAAAAAACTATCTACGCACATTTTCAAATATGTGTTTTAAATTTACAGACGACAAATAAATTATTCTGAAAAGATGTACTTAACGCAAAGTCAATTACTTAGAAGAATAGCAGAGGCAACAAGTTTTATTCTTCAGAATTCAAAATAATAAACAATCCTTAAACATTTAACCTTAAAGTTCAATCAAACACTGATATTTAATGTTTAAAGCTTACTTTATCGGATAATTGAATGCTTATTTTAAAGGGAGAGATTTGATCGAGTTTTGTAACTAGGTATCGGTTCGGTTTAAAAAGCTGTTTTCCCCCGATGCCATGGTGAACAAAAGAAAAATAAAGACGGGGAAAAAATCGCTCCTGCTAATAGCCCTTATGGAATGGTAGGGCGTTTAGCCGAAAACTTGTTTATATTCCATTAGTCGAAGAGAGGGTGTATAAGGGGTGTGGAAATCAATTCAAAGCGTGTCACAACCAACCCCCATCCCCGATGCCGGAAACCACCGCATCCTTAGCCATACGTATACACCTCCCCACTTTCCTCGGAAGCGAAAGAACGAACCTATTTGCACGGCAGCAAGCATTGACATGATTTTGACCGCGTCTGATACTCCTGGTTAACATTAATTCCTGAACAGCTTTTAAATATTTGATAGTCAAATTTATTTTAGACATAAGTTCACTATTTTTCGTGGTCCGCTTGACCAATTAATATCATTCAATTAATTAAGGTTTTTAGTTGAGATAAAAAAGTCAGTGTCACGAGCGGGATTCGAACCCACAACCTTCGGCTTGATACGCCGCTACTCTACCACTTGAGCTATCGTGACTTCGATCCCCTCGGGCACTAACCTCCCATCTCAACCGCACCTTTTTTGATTTGACATTTGAAAAATGGCAAAAAGGAGGGAAAATTCAAAAGGTGGGTTTGAGATGGGAGGTTAGTGTCCGAGTGGATCAAGGTCACGATAGCTCAAGTGATAGAGTAGCGGCGTATCAAGCCGAAGGTCGTGGGTTCGAATCCCGCTCGAGACACTGACTTTTTTATCTCAACATAAAACCTTAATTAATTGTTTAGACAGAAATATAAACATAAAGCATAACAAGAAATAATTACTTAAAAAACTTCCAATACTTTTTAAATATGTTAGATCATTCAAAAATAAAATTAAAAACAACAAACAAACTAACATTTGCAAATCGTAAAAATCAAAATAATTCTATATATTGTTCTTTCCAATCAGTTAATATTTTAAGTCAGATCTGAAACTTTTTCTTTATAGACTATATGCATATTGCTAAAACATGGCCAGTATAAAGGCCAGGTCGGAAAGTTTTAAAAACAATTTTTGGACGGAATTCGGAACTTGTTAACATTTCTAATTTACAGAAATATTACAATCAAGTTGACAGATTTAAAAAGAAAAACTATTTATTCCATTCTATTATGTGCACAAAAAAAATAAGTTCTTCAAGTTTTCAAATAAAACCATTTGTTTGTAGTTTGGTCGTTTTCTACCATTTTGGCCCACAGATCTTGGCTGTTTTTGCTGTCCATTTCACACGTGGATTTGTGTAATTTCCCTTTGGTCCATTCCCTTTTATACGATTTTATATGGTTCCATAGATATATTTTCTGTCCTTTTTATTTTTTTAAAGACTTTTTCGTTTTTACATTTTGTTTAAAGCTTATGGCACAAGAATTCTCTAGATTTCGGTATGGTCGGGATAGCCAAGAACTTCCTTAAGATTGTTTTGTCCATATGGTCGAGATCTTGGCAGATAACGATTGAATTTGTCTTTTCATCCAGACCATACCAAGATCCAGAGTATTCAATATTTTGAACGGATTAAGAATTTCTGCTCTCTATAATAGCATTCAATTAATTAAGGTTTTTAGTTGAGATAAAAAAGTCAGTGTCACGAGCGGGATTCGAACCCACGCTTGATACGCTCGCTACTCTACCACCTGAGTTATCGTGACTTCGATCCACTCGGGCACTAACTTCCCATCTCAACCTCACCTTTTTTTAATTTTTGCCTTTTTTCAAGGCGTATCAAGCCAAAAGTCGTCGGTTCGAATCCCGCTCGCGACACTGACTTTTTTATCCTAACTAAAAACCTTAATTAATTGAATAATATTAATTGGTCAAGCGGACCACGAACACTATTGAATCTCTATAATAGTTTTATCTTCGTTTAAACTCTACTGTAAAATCAACCAATTAAACTTTGACCATGTTACAAGATAGTGTTAAAATCACAAATTATTGAATAGTTTTGCACCTACAAAAAAATTGTACTTTCGGAATTTTGAAGTATCGTTATATTGCCTGAATGAACTTATGGTTTAAGAATACACTTTTATTGAAGGTAGTCTTTATATTTTAAATCAAGTATACATTTTGTGATAATGCCAAAATACAAAATAAAGTAGGCATTGAAAGAACAATTTTATGATAAGAAAAAATTTGTAGCTAATTTCATTCTTTAAAATTATTTGGAATGAAATTTAATTTAAATGTGTGGTGATTAGTGACCTTAATCGATAATTATTCAGAAATCGTGGCCCTGAAGATGATCTCAATAAAGATCGAAACGTTGGCAAGATAAAGGAAATGTTTTTCTGAAACCTACATCACAACAGACCGGATCTCACGATTTCTGAATAATTTACAAATAAAAACAAATAATAATAAATTCGTTCTATTTTACAAAAATTGAAAAAATAATTAGCCTACGTGGAATTCGGTCTTCTTCTAATGAAACTGTACACACTATCGAGGAAAAACAAATAAATCATCAGAATAAAAATATTCACTACAATAGGTCAAATTCAGTCAAACAAATCTTGAAAAAAAAACATTGTACGAATGAAAACCAAAATCTTTTTCATAAAAGGAAAAACTATGTGTTTTTTCCTGACATCAAAAGAATAACCACAGTGTATTTGATAAATTTTACAGAAATTATTCGGTTTTCTTTAAATAAATAGAAACACGTACTTTTAAAATAAATATGATCATAATTCGCAAACAAATTACTGACAAAAGATAGAAAATCCGTCTGCCAGAGGATGTCGCCAAAATAAATTACTCGTCCTTGTAATGATAACAAAAATTAAATCAAAACATTTTATTAGTTTTAATTATTTGGGCTTAATATGCTTGTGGCCGACGTTTTTATAAACAATGTGATTCATATTTATTTATTTTTGCGTGTCACAATTGGAATGTCTCCATTTTCTTTCCTAGATGATGTTTATTAAGAAAGGAAGGGAGAGAGTGGAGGGAGAGAGAGAGAGAGTATAAAAAGAGTGATAGATAGATGGATGTATGGATAGATATGGTAGAGAAAGAGTGATAGATAGATAGATGGATAGAGAGAGAGAGAGAGAGAGAGAGAGAGAGAGTAGAGAAAGAGTGATAGACAGATGGATGGATAGATAGAGAGATATAGTAGAGAAACAGTGATAGGTAGATAGAGTAGAGAAAGAGAGATTGATAGATAGATGGATGAATAGATAGATAGATAGAGTAGAGAAAGAGTGATAGATAGATATATGGAAATCAGAAAGAAAGAGAAGAGAGATAGAGAGAGAAAGAAGAGAGAGAGAGAAAGATAGAGAGTGATGGATAGCTAGTTAGAGATATAGGGATAGATAAATAAATAGATTGAGACAGAAAGTCGATCAAATCCTGAGAAAGAGGGAGAATGAGCACTAGACTGGGGAAGAGGAAGAGGGAGTGCCGAAGCGAGTGAGAGAGAAAGAGAGAGGGAGAGAGACTGGCGGTCAAATCTTGAGAAAGTGGCAAAGAGAGAATGAGCGCCCGACTGGGGAAAAGGATGAGAAATTAATTGAATGATTGATAAATTAGATAGACAGATAGATAGATATATACATTGATAAGATAGAGGGAGATAGATACATAGGTAGATAGAGAGAGAGAGAGAGAGAGAGAGAGAGATAAGAGAGGCAAGTGTGAGGGGGAGAGAGAAGAGAGAGAGAGTGAGAGAGAGGGAGATGGAGAGGGAGAGAGAGAGAGAGAGGAAGAGAGAGAGAGAGAGGTTCCATAACCGAATGAGCAAGAATTAGACCAGTATAATCAAAGACAACCAAACAACAATATTTAATAGAAGTGGGTACACTTTGAGCCCTGAAGAGGATCTCAATAAAGATCGAAACGTTGTCGCGATAAAGAAAATTTTCTAAAACTTACGTCACGACAGACCGCATCTCACAATCTCCAAATTGAAGAATAGAACGTTTTTATTGGCTTATTACTGGACTTTCATCACTTTCTGTCGTTATTTCTAGTTCATCACACTGAAAATAAATCGCTACCCTTGATCCCAAATGTCAGAACTGTATCGCTTTGTCTGTCCGTGGGTAGAACGTCAACTGTTTCAGATTAGCCTTAAAAGGAGGGGAACGTATGTGACCTCATTACAATTGCAAATTAATAAAGCGAGAGGGTGGGCGGCGGATAATGTTTTATTGCCTCCCTTAATAGATCAATCGTCGACTGATCGGGTGCACCATCCTGGAAAAATCGAAAAGGAGGGGAGGAGGATTATCCCTAATGTTATTACTGACAAAAAAAATGTTTTAGAATCATTAACTAACAGTAGGAATAGGATTCGAAAAATTAAAAGAGCTAATTGCTTAATTAAAAACGAATAATAAAAATCGTATTTAAATTAACAACTGACACGACCAAAATTTTATTTATACTGGCCAATGAGTCCTTTTTTCTACTTCTGTTTAGTCTACTTATATGTAAGTAATCTATACCTTACTTTAAACCTTTAAATCTTCAATTTATACCTTGTTCCTATTATGATAGTACATAAATATTTTTCATAGTTCTTCTTTAAGGCGTAGTAGGGTCTACAAATTATGTCTCTATTTTTTCTTTTAAGCCAAGAGAAGACTTTATGGTTTTATGGTTTTAATTGATCCGTTTGTTCAAGGTGATCGACTGTTGGATATTCCTTGCAAAGTTTGTGGGGATAGAAGTTCCGGAAAGCACTACGGTATATACAGTTGTGACGGTAGGTGTGAAAATTTTTCAAGGGAAAAAACCCCGCTTCGAAAAAAGACGTGTATATTCCAAAAGAGCCGTTTTCAGGTTGTTCTGGTTTTTTCAAAAGGAGCATCCACAGGAACAGAGTTTACACTTGCAAAGCCCAAGGAGATCTTAAAGGCCGATGTCCAATTGACAAAACACACAGAAATCAGTGTAGAGCCTGCCGTCTGACGAAGTGTTTCCAGTCAGCGATGAACAAAGACGGTAAGCGACATAATTTTCCTCTTTGACCATTTTAAAACTATCATAAAATTGAAAAAATTATATACAATTTAATTTATACAATTTTGTGTTGCAAGCATGTTATATCTGTCAGTTCAGTAGACTATTAACGAAAGTAGGTTACCGACCTGGAATCTGATTTTTCTAACGATACAATGTCAAAAATATAGGATAGTAACTTACATTTTTTTAAATATATTTTTGTCCCAATTTATACATGTGAGTGATGATTTGAGTTTTGACCTAGAATAACTTAATAGTAAGCAAGACCGTATTAAACAAGATTAGATATGTAAAAAGTTACAAAAACCAACAGACGCGTTCAGTAAAATAGGTTTAAAAAAATCGTATTTAAAAAGCCTAATTCGGATTAATTTTAAGCACCCAGTAAGTACTAAAATGCGATGTTAATAGTAATAAAAATTAAATTCACTAGTTTTTGTGGTCCGCTAGACCAATTAATTAAGGTTTTTACTTGAGATAAAAAAGTCAGTGTCACGAGCGGGATTCGAACCCACGACGATACGCAGCTACTCTGCCACTTGATCTATCGTGACTTCGATCCCATCGGGCACTAACCTCCCATCTCAACCGCACCTTTTTTGATTTGACATTTGAAAAATGGCAAAAAGGAGGGAAAATTCAAAAGGTGGGGTATAGCTCAAGTGGTAGTTTAGCGGCGTATCAAGCTGAAGGTCGTGGGTTCGAATCCCGCTCGTGACAATGACTTTTTTATCTCAACTTAAAACCTTAATTAATTGTTTAGACAGAAGTATAAGCATAAAGCATAACAAGAAATAATTACTTAAAAAACCTCCAATACTTTTTAAATATGTTAGATCATTCAAAAATAAAATTAAAAAACAACAAACAAACTAACATTTGCAAATCATAGAAATCAAAATAATTCAATATACTGTTCTTTCCAATCAGTTAATATTTTAAGTCAAATCTGAAACTTCTTCTTTATAGACTATATGCATATTGCTAAAACATAGCGAGAATAAACGGGCCAGGTCGGAAAGTGGTTGGAATTTTGGACATTGACAATGGAAAGTTTGGACGGAATTCGGAACTTGTTAACATTTCTAATTTACAGGAATATTACAATCAAGTTGACAGATTTAAACAGAAAAACTATTTATTCTATTCTAATTTGTGCCAAAAAAAAGAAATTTGTCAAGTTTTCAAATAACACCATTTGTTTGTACTTTGGTCGTTTTCTACCATTTTGGGCCACAGATCATGGCTGTTTTTGCTGTCCATTTCACAGCTAGATCTGTGTAATTTCCCTTTGGTCCATTCCCTTTTATACGATTTTATATGGTTCCATAGATATATTTTCACCAACCTAATAATTAATTTCACTAGTTTCGTGGTCCGCTTGACCAATTAATATCATACAATTAATTAAGGTTTTTAGTTGAGATAAAAAANTTGAGATTTTTTCGAGAGGGAAAAATTTGAAAAATACTTATTACATATAAACTAGAAGTTAAAAATACCTGAGATAGATTAAATCCGTTTTGGTTCCCCCCAACTGCAAGACTAACGGGCTGAAACGAAATAAATTATTGTTAATTACTTGTATTCGGACCGTTGCGAATCGATGATATGTGAAGTGTGAATCATGGGAATACCAGCACACGTTCATCCGGCTTAGGATCACAGACAAGTGATTTGTGTTAAACCTTCAACCCTCTCGTTTAATTTTTTAACGAATGCCCGATGAATGATGAAAGACGACTCGAAAGAGGGAAGAAATACGAATATACGAGGGGCGTGAACCGACTTAATCGACATAGGAATCTCTCTCCAAGAGTACTTAACTTTAAAGCGCTTCTTGGCCCTGGAGATGAATTAAAAGGCCCCGGGGCGTTTCAATCTTTCCCATAAACCACTCTAACTCGGGTGACAACCCTAGACCTCCCCGAGGCGTCATCCTTTCTTTCTCACTCAGATTTTCCAGAGTTCCTTCAACTTATGCTATATACGTTGTGGCAATATTCAATTTCGCAACTATCGTTTATACAAATAAACAAGAAGTCTTTTAAACTCCATCCGCGGTCAGCGTCAATGTTGCTTCAAACAAGTTGGTACGCCTACGTGTAAAACAAACACATCCGAAGATTTAAAAATGAAGTTATTTGTTTTGAAATATCTTCCGTGATTACTGCAAAGTCAGAAAACCACCATGGAGATTCCAAAGTATACAACTGATTTAATCATTTTTGCTAAACCCTGAAACAATTTAAACTGATTTATTAGCGTGATCATCGGAACTTCTCTTATTACAGAGTATTAACGAAATTATGATCTTCATTGAAAATTGCCTGTTAGTCTGTAAGCCTCTACTGAGAAACGTTTCTATAAAAGAAGAGAAAATTGAAATTGTTAATACTTAAAAATATCATTTTTCATTGTCATTTTCTCAATGCTCATTTTTTTAAATAAAGTAAGTTTAGTTAAATAAATTCTCCATAGGTGGTAGCTTCATTTTTCTAGAACTGGTGCTTCTCAGTTCATCTATTTTTATTAGTTATAACTACAAATTTTCCATGTGTTTTTCTTTAAAGATATATATATGTAGACACATAAAAATTGTCTACTTGTGTCACCTGGGTGTTTGATCATCAATGTTTTTTCCAGTAATTCTTTACTTGGTTTTGGATTAATGATTTGTGTGAAATAGAAAATTGAATAAGATAAATTCGCTTTTAATTATAGAGAGTTTTTTAAGTGCAATTTCAGGATACCTCACCTCAAGACCGAGACGTCGTGATGGTTTAGCCTATTAGTTGCCCCCGACTCAAATAACTCCGGGTTTTAAAGATTGAAGTCGTTTTACGATAGTATTTAAACTACAAGGTTATATAGCGTCCAACACAAATCTCGTATACTTACATTTTAACAGGACTACTTGTCTTTGGGGTTTTTTAACCTCCGGTGTTTTTGTGTCGGTGTTTTTGAAAAACAGGCCAGTTGTAAGTACATTTCGAACCTGGGAACTTTACCTTATGTTACTGCATAAAAGAAACTATACATAATGAACAATTTAAACTTAATATAATAAGATTTTGATGGATGTAAATTTCTGAAATTCCAAAAAAATTAATGTAAAAATATCATGTTATCAAAAAAACCCTCTTTCCCAACGTACTCACTCAAAAACATTGACACATTTAAAAATTGCACTTGATTGTATACAAGTTTAAACATGGCGTCTTCTCAACTTCCGTTTTCTTAAAAAGTCGCTGTGGTGGTTAACTTAAAAAAACGGGTTAGATCGTAGAGAAAATATTCTTAATAGTGCCTTACTCTCCTCTCATTTTTTTATTCTGAAATCAATTTTTTAATGTAAAGAATCTCATTACTATGGAAAAAAGAAGCATAGATACCCTAAAGTCCGTGATAAGTACATAAAAAATATGAAAAGGTTTAAAGTACTGAAGATAGAATGACTATGAATAAATTCCCCCCTCCAATTTGACTACTTTTTGACGGAGAAAATTCAAATTCTTTTAGCCACAAAAAATATTTGATATGCGGCTTCGCACCAAAACACGCGCTAAATATAATTTTTTTAAAGGTCAGATTCTTCACTTCACAAATGCTTCTGATTTTATCCTTCTAAAAACACATAAAAAGTCACAACTTCGAAATAACTCCATCGATCCACAGAAAACTTTAAAAAAAGTCAAAAACATTATAAACTATTCATAATGGCATACTAAATAAATTAGAATCGCAAATATAAAATAAAACGTATAAGGAGTCTATTTCGTTGTTTGTTGTTTATTTCATCCTTTTTTTCTCACTATTGGCGTCAAAATCTAAACATTCTTGGCACAGGCTGAAAGAAAGAAAAGTCACCTTTCCGACATTTGTAATAAATTCATTATTTTTAGTAGTCTGATTGACTAAATTACTTCTTTCAATTAATTCATCTTTTTATGTAAGGTCTTGGTTGAAATTAAAAATCTAGTGTCACGAGTGGGATTCGAACTCACGACCTTCGTGACACTAACATTTTCATTTCAACCAAAACCTTGCATAAAAAGATTAATTTTTCATAAAGTTAAATTTGGATAAAACCCGAAGTGGTTTCGGTGGAACTGGAGAAGGGTGAAAAAATTTCACTGTTTAATCCAGCTAAAAATGTTTATTTTTGCTTATGTTGACTAAATTACTTCTTTCAATTAATTCATCTTTTTATGTAAGGTCTTGATTGAAATGAAAAAGCTAGTGTCACGAGTGGGATTCGAACCCACGACCTTCGTGACATTAACATTTTCATTTCAACCAAAACCTTGCATAAAAAGATTAATTTTTAATCAAGTTAAATTTGGACAAAACCCAAAGTGGTTTAGGTGGAACAGGACAAGGGAGAAAAAAAAAATTCACCGTTTAATCCCGCTAAAAATATTTATTTTTGTTTTGGCATAAAAATTTGTATTAAAGGTTTTACAGCGAGCTTAAAACAAACCCGAATTGTTTGTTTTCTTTTCTTTTATTTTCGAAAGGTTTTTTGTTGGCCTACTTTAGTGGAAGCGCCGTTTGATTTTTGTAACTTTTTGTATATCTTATCTCATTTATTATAAAAAGTATATAATATACGTTTAAATATAAATTAATAATCATAAAAAATTGAATATTAATAAAGAAAATAAACTGTCCTTTGGTTCTTTTTATTTATCATTGTCTGTGAAATAGGTCGTTGATATTTATTGCGTCGGAAACATAAAAAAAATTGTATGGACCTTTAAAATGGAAAGGTGGGAAACGAGTATCCGGAATAAGCTATAAATCCAGAATAAGAATCTACTTGGCACAGGTAACAAAAGGCCGTTGTAATGTCCGCCGGCGGCTATATTCCCCGTCGAGTGATACCTATCAGGTCCAACAAAAGGTGGGCAATATCTCTGAAATCTAAGCTCCCCCTGGGTTGTAACAATTCCCGATATAACATTTTCCTTTCTGTA